CATCTGTTAAAACCAGGGACAGAGCCAGGGTGCACCGTATCCATGTAATATAATGGCTTGCCTTCAGGTTGAACAGACGAGAATTCACTAGACCATGTTTCACGACCTATGCCCATATCTCATTTGCATAAAAGAGGTCAAATTGTTCATTAAGAAAACTGTACCCTCTCCCACGAATTTTGACCTTTGACCTGATAACTGGCAAAGACAAATAACACTGTAGAATCTACTTAAACCTAACTGTTAATGAAAATGCTGTTACACCTTAAAAAAAAAAAAAAAAAAAAAAAAAAAAAAAAAAAAAACTCAGACTAATTGAAAGAGATGGAGATAACATGTTGCTAAACCGCGGAACGGAAAACAGAAAGAAACAAGATGTGTTTGTGAAACACTATGCCCCCATATGGCAGCTTATGTCGAAGGTTAAATTTCTCAAATGCAAGTCAAAATCCAGGCCAAAAGATAAAAAATGTTGATACCCAAAGAAAGATCTTGTCTCGAGGAAAACACCTGTGAAATTTGAAAGACCTAGATACAACTGTTCAAAAGTTATGGTGAAGGTTAAAGTTTTTTAAATAAAAGTCAAACGTCAAGGTCAAGGTCAAAGTGGTTGGTATCCAAAGGAAAATCTCGTCACAAGGATTACATATATGAAGTATGAAAGCCCTAGCACCAACCATTCAAAAGTTATGGCCAAGGTTAAAGTTTTTAAAAAATAGGTCAAACTCCTAGGTCAAGGTCAAAGGGTCAAAGTGGTTGGTATCCAAAGGAAGGTCTTGTCACAAGGATTACATATGTGAAGTATGAAAGCCCTAGCATCAACCATTCAAAAGTTATGGCCAAGGTTAAAGTTTTTCAAAAGTAGGTCAAACTCCAAGGTCAAGGTCAAAAGGTCAAAGTCGTTGGTATTCAAAGGAAAGTCTTGTCACAAGGATTACATATGTGAAGTATGAAAGCCCTAGCTCCAACCATTCAAAAGTTATGGCCAAGGTTAAAGTTTTTCAAAAGTAGGTCAAACTACTAGGTCAAGGTCAAAAGGGTCAAAGTGGTTGATATCCAGAGGAAGGTCTTGTCACAAGGAATACACATGTGAAGTTTGAAACCCCAAGCTCCAACTGTTCAGAAGTTATGGCCAAGGTTAAAGTCTCATAAAATTTTGCAAAAGTGGGTCAAACTCCAAGGTCAAGGTCAAAAGGTCAAATATGATGGTACCCAAAGAAAGGTCTTGTCACAAGAAATACACATGTGAAATATGAAAGTCATAGCTCCAACCAATCAAAAGTTATGGGCAAGGTTAAAGTTGACAACAGACAGACAGACAAACAGACAAACAAACAGACAAACAGATAAACAGACAAACAGACAGACAGGACAAAAACAATATACCCCCGGGATCTTTCGATCCGGGGGCATAAATAGGAATAATAGTGAAAAAAAAAATAAAAAATGTTCATTCACGTGTATTTGCGACTTTTTAAAAATATTCTGAATCCAGTTGATAAATTAAAATTGCTAAATTCCTGCCAGCTTAGCAATTAACATGAATTACATACACATATCTATAGAATGAAATATATTTGAAAAATGTCAGTCAGCATTTGACCTAATGATACATATAGGTTGTATTTGCTGACAAGATCACTGTATCGACCATAAATTGCGAAATGATGACTTCAAACGAGACTGTTGATATGCTTGGTTCATCAACTTGTTTGTCAATAGCTTGCCTCGTTTTAGAAATTGTTCATACGTAGAGCATGCTCTTGCGTATCGAATCAACTGAGAGACTTAAACCCCATAAACAGGTGATGAAGTTATATTGCTGCATAACTAGGGGAAGTTGACGATTGAAAAGTTGAAGTCATCACGTTTATCATAAAGCTTTGATGTTAGGTTACCACTAACGTCTTTAACTAATATAATATCCAGATATGAAACAGATGTGTCAGATTCTGTTGTATCACTTTTATTTCAAGCTCACTGGGATATATCGAGTCAAATATTGTTCCTTCGTATAGATTTATGAACCTTTCCACAAAATATCTTCTACCAGATGGTAAGAGAATTCAGTTTTTTTTTTCAGGAGACATTTTCACAAAAAAGTTTCTAAAAATATCTAAATTATCATAAACCGTATGGCGTGTGTGTGTGTGTGTGTGTGTGGGGGGGGGGGGGGGGTTCCGATAATTTTTATTTATATGAAACTGGATATAATTACGGTAGTGCCCACTCAATAGTAATGTATGATACTTTCAACGTTCTGCTTTTAAAAATTTTAGAAATGTTGTGAAAAAGACATTTTTTCTAGATTTTTCTAATCAGATAATTTTAATAAAAGACTTAAAAGAGGAAATTCGGCATTGTTTCATGTTGGAAATAGAAGAATCCTCAAAATATTTAACACAGAGGCGTTTCAGTTACTTGGGGGGGGGGGGGGGGGGGTAACACTTATGAGGATTTACTAACTTTCAGATGGGAACATGTTGTACAAGAAATGCTTGATTACAATCCTCTGTTATAAGAAACCTTGCTTGCTGTGTGTATTCCTACGAAGTCAATGCATGAGCAACATTTTGATAAGATCTATCTAGAGATTGGAACTGTGTACGGAATACTCATGAAGAGGAGGTGTAAGGACCTTCCACATGTACAAAGGATGATCTCCATGTTATTGGCAGAAGAGAAGGTTCATCAGAAGGTATTTTACAATTATCATGATTATGTCTTAATTCACAGTCAATTTTTATTTTCGGTTTCATTACAATGTTTAAAGTTAAAATATTATTATTTTATTAACCTGTATTTTTGTGTCACCTGCAGAGCAGAGCTAGTAGTACACTAAGGGATCACTTTACCAAGCGTCTGTCTGTTGTCTGTCTGTCGCACCTCATATCTCAAGAACTGTAAGAGGTGTGGATTTGATATTTTGCACATACATTGTTTGGCACTATGGCTATAGTAAATAACCATGGTTTTTAACCTAATTACATTTGAACCTGACATTTGACCTATTTTACAAAATAGTACTTAGTGCCGATATACAGCATATTTTTGACATTTAAGAGGTAAGTCCATGTTTTTAGCTCACCTGAGCTGAAAGCTCAAGTTAGCTTTTCTGATCACCTGTTGTCTGTCGTCCGTCCATCTGTCTGTCTGTCCGTCCATCTGTAAACTTTTCACATTTTCAACTTCTTCTCAAGAACCACTGAGCCAATTTTAACCAAAGTTGGTACAAAGCATCCTTGGGTGAAGGGAAGTTTAAATTGTTAAAATGAAGGGCCAACCACCCTTACAAGGGGAGATAATCAAGAAAGAGAAAAATAGGATGGGGTCATTAAAAAATCTTCTTATCAAGAACCACTGGGCCAGAAAAGCTGAAACTTAAGTGTAAGTTTCCTTGGGTAGTGTAGATTCTAAATTGTTCAAATCATGGCCCCGGGGGTAGGGCGGGGCCACAATAGAGAATCTAAGTTGTACATTGAAATGTATAGGTAAAATCTTTAAAAATCTTCTTCTCAAGAACCACAGGGCCAGAATAGCTGAAACTTATGTGGAAGCATCCTTGGGTAGTGTAGATTCTAAATTGTTCAAATCATGGCCCTCGGGGGTACGGCGGGGCCACAATAGGGAATCAAAGTTTTACATTGAAATATATTGGCAAAATCTTTAAAAATCTTCTTCTCAAGAACCACTGGGCCAGAAAAGCTGAAACTTAGGTGGAAGCATCCTTACATAGTGTAGATTCTAAATTGTTCAAATCATGGCCCCCAGGGGTACGACGGGGCTGCAATAATTATTACAATGGAGTGGGGGTCTGGTGAAGAACAGCAGGGCCAAACGTAACTCAGGTGAGCATTGTGGCCCATGGGCCTCTTGTTTAAGAATGTGTACTGTTTGTCATCAATCATTGTAAAAAATGTCTTAAGTGTTCCTTGGAACACTTTAGTTAATTTATTGCCACTGATAATTTTTTGTGTCCATTTTTCTTTGTTTTCAGCCTTCTTCATTTCAGAATGGAAATGATTGGGATGTTTGGTGTTTTCTGTTTACTAAACCTCATTAAACCATACTTTGTGAGCATGACTTATAGAATAATTATGTCATGAACCTTAGTATGGATAATTGGGTTTTTCATTTTCTCCAAAAAGTTCATCATTTGGTTGTGTTTTCCACTAATTGTAATGACTTTTACGATATTGGTTCTTTGCCCTAGAGTAAGTAAATGTTTAAAAAAAAAATTGCTAATTACTCTTTCAATGAATTGGGAAAATATTCAACTATTAAATAGTATAACTTCCTTGATATTAACTTTATTGAACTGCAGCTTTTCTTACAACATGAAACATAACATTGCTGCTCTTATTTTGATATGCAAGTAATTTTCTTCATGTTTAATATTTATGTGCACTAAATTTGTGTTTAAGGTTCATGTTAGATTTCAACGCCTGGGAGTAACTTTATCTCACAGTGTAGCTCTGAAAGTTCAAAGACAAATTGGTGACCAATATATTAAAGACCTTGTAGATGCTATCCCGTCTGATTGGGGACAACGTAAACTTTATGGTTAAAGTCAGTCACCAGCGACACATTTCATCAAAACGTATGGAAAACTGGTTTGCATCTGCTGCCATTATTCAGCATGAAGAGTTTGAGAACCTACCTGACAAGGGACCTCAAAGACAAGTCCTGGATATTCCAGCTGAGGACTTTCTACCATCACTAGCAGACTGGAATGTTATTCATAAGGAGTATGTTACACTAACATAAAGTGTGTTATGCAAATTTTGCAAAGAATTTGCTGGTTTCAAAACATTTGTTGATGAAATGAGACAGGAATTCATTCCTCATAATTATGATGCGACAAAAAACACTCTGTTGTCCCACTACCGGTATTGCCAAGAAATGAACAGTGCGACACAGATGTGATAAAGATTTCAGATTCATATGAAGAAACAGTTGCAGAAGTGTTCAGGGCCAGTGGCAGAGAAGTCGACGACAAAACCAGAGTACACATTGGAGGAGATCAACTTACTAGAGAACATTTTTCAGGAGCAAAGAGACTTCGAAAAGATGCTGTTAGTGGAGAGGATGGTTTTGAGCACCTCTCTCCCATTACGTTTGAACTTTTCCATTTTTGACCATTGCAAAGAACTTGCAGTGTCTTTAATAGGCAGTTACATAGTGTCTGCAGCTCTGGAGTATTTAGGGATGGACAAACTGGATTATGTGCCAATCAAACATTTTATACCAAGTTTGGATGAATTATTATAAGTGAATATGAGAAGAAGATGTCTCTTGTGCATTCATTAGAAAATTTCATTGATGCATACATTATAAAAGATTCAAAAGATTTACTCCAGGAGCAATCTTCTACTGTACAGTTTATTCAAATACAGGTACAAATGCCAAATGGAAGTCCAGTGAATATTCAGCTGCCTCTTTTGACAAAATCTGAGCATATGCAAGCTTCACCAGATCATATCATGAACTATGCACTTTGAATCTTAGAACTAGGACTTGCATTTAAAGGCCTTCAAAACAATATTAAAATTCCGAATAGAGACAGGTTTATACCACTCATGAAGCACTTAATGTATATTCTAAAGGGCCACAATGATAATTCCAAGTATGCACTTGAAATTTTGCGCTTCTTGGTCCAGCAGCAGTGCACATTTGATGAGAAGACAGCTTACCAGTCTTTTTTATGGTCTCTTTGTCAACAATTATAAAGAAAAGTTTGATTCTTCAATTCCTGCAGACCTACAGATGGAACACATTGTGAGACAAATTAAAGGTCACTTGAAAGCTGTCCATTCAAATAAACAGACACTGCCATTGCAAAGAGAACAGCTGCCTTTGCTGGCATGAAAAACATATCAGCATCTTTTGATGATTCCTCTGATGTTATTGTACGTTCTCAGAAGCACAAAATTGTTTTTTCACACTCTGATGAATGCATGATTATCAGTGACTTACAGAAGCTTAAACCTTTCCACTTTAAAGATGGACGAAAGTTACAATCATTTCCCAAACCTGTCCAGAGTCCCTTGAGTCATCTCAATATGCAGAAATTGAAGTCATGGATTCGTGAACACCAGTACAACCTTCACCATGAAGTAAGAAATTAAGGTAAAACTTTATGAAAACATAAATACAGTAAAACATTCTTATAGTCAAGTCCCATGTACCTCAAAATTTGCTTTGATAAAAGAATTATTTGCTATATCAGTGTATATCCTAGTTAATTAAGAAATAAGTTATTTTGAAACTTTGATAAAAAAGTCATTATATTAAGTGTAAATTTGTGTAAGCTTGTTTGCTGTAACTGTGTTTTACTGTTTTTAAACTTGAGGTTTGTTTATAAAGAGCTTCACATAATTAAAGAAAAAAATCCAAAAACAAAGAAGTTAAACTTACATATATTATAACAGTACTGTAAACTGAAATATGTTTATTCAAGCCAATTTTAAAAACATAGTTTATCTTAAAGACAAATCAATGACCTGTTTTATTAAACAACATAAAGACTTTGCAACTACTGGGGAAATTTGAAAGTCTTGGGTCGGTTCCTCCTCTGCAAGGTGTAATTTAGGAAAGCGAACTAAATGTTCAATACACTCCAAGCTTTACTTCTTCTTTCAGATCTGAGGAAGTCACAAAGGAAGTTAATGCAGATCTGAGAACAGACTTGTCTATCTCCGAATCCTTTTCAGCTGACTCAGAAGAGGGGCAAGAATCCTCACATACATCACAACAATTTTGAACAACAGCAGTAGATTCTGTAAATCCAAAGTGGGACTTAGAAAAAAACTCGCCTACAAAGTGTGTCATTCCTGCAATACTCCTTAATTTCCTTTGAAATGTTTAGACACCCCAAGTCACTGCTATTGAAGTACAAAATGGCTTCACACTGCATTTCACTGTTTTGTCCACCACGGCCAATATGCTGTATGTATGCTAAAAGTATAAAATTGAAATATAGAAGGAAAGTTTTTAAGTTAATATGGAGCAAATTATTTTAAATATTACTATCACTACAATATGTTAATCATTATCACAAGAAATTAGTTTCCATAATGTAGAACTAAATTCTGCAATATACATGTGATATATTGTAGGTTACCTCCTACTTCTGATATTATTCCATCCACACTGTCAAGCATATGATTTAATTTTTTTATATTGTAGAAAATTTACCTTCCAGATTTTGGGGAGGACAAGCATGAATCACCTGAGCTACATAACGCAGGTCTACCCCTATCCCTAGTGCTACTGTAGCAATAACAACTTTCAGGGGACTCTCTATGGGATCCTTTGCCAAATTCTTAAATATGATATCTTTGAGCTGAAATTCATTTATTATAATTGAGTAAGTTAAATTGAAATCTGTTGGAATATGAAAACAGAAATCCAGCATACATAGATTTTCCAGACTCTATATATACTTTTGTGGCAGATAATACAAACATTTGCTATGTAAATATTGACTTGATTGTCTCAGTTTTATCAATAGATCTTTGCATATGACTGTTAATTAGATTAAAGATCAACATAGGGAATTTGATGACTTTTACATGTATCATTTATTCAGTTGAACTATAAGTGATCTGTTGTTTTTCTATCAAAAGAAATCAAACTCTATGTAGGTATGAGACAATATTCACCTCATCTCCTTTTTCCAAAGCAGAATGTAACATGACTACCCTTAGATTCTCTGCACATTTGTGTCCATCACCACCATACATACTGTCTCGAAGGATTCTCTCGGCAAGTTCAAACCCGTATCCCACCCAGTCCATGCTGCCACAGCAGTAAATCAGTGTAAGAGGATAATCCTGAGTTTTCTGTTTTAGTTCATAGAAAACAGACTCAAACACATAGTCAAGAGCCTTTTTCACAGATTTGTTTTTCCCAACACCAGGTCTCTTTTTTATAATTAGTTTGATGTTTTCCTTTGTAGGAACTGTGAGTCATCAGTAGGTGCTGGGCAACATTTTTCTGGCCATCTTTTGACAAAGTAGCACTTAATCCCAGCACTTGAGCATCCGGTACAACAGCTCTTAATTGCTTAATTTCTCTGAAAACTGGACGGAATTCCTCCCCCCAGTCTAGAATACAGTGTGCCTCATCGACAACAATATATGATTTCTGTTGACAGGAGCGTAGAGCTTGATATACAGCTTTGTTGCCAATGATGTTTTCAGGATGAGAAAATATATATGTGCAAGTACCTGATGCAGTTTTGTCAATATCACTTTCATTCATTTTGTTTTTTAAGCAAATGCTGGTGTATTTCGCAAGTTTATTCAGTTGCTGCTCTATAATGATGTTAAGGACATTGGCAAGGTTCCTGGTTATCGTATAGAATTTTTCAAGAACTCTTGAGTAGGTTTAAAAGTACTAAATAGGCTATATTCTTGACCTTTTAACCTACCAATCCAACCTTCTTTTTTAGATTTTGTGAAATCGATGTTTTTACACTTCTCAATGCATTTCCTATGTAAAATGTTGATAAAAGGGACCTACATAATTTTTCACCATAATATTTTTCCAAAACCCACTTATTTCATACAGTTTTTGTATTATATACATTATTGTATCTTCATTTCCTATGACTTCTAGAAATTATGGCTAAAAATTATATATCGGAACAAAACATGGATATACCGGCACCGATCATTATTTCTGAGTTGCTTCCCTTAACAGCTAAAATTGATCAAGAGACTGGTTGATTGTTTTTATCATGTAGTTGACTTAATTGATTGAAACACATTGTAACAAAAATATTGGCATTGTTTTATTTTTATTTTTTATTCGTAGTTACTAAATGCTGCTTCCTTCACACGACCTAGCTAAGAACTGTTCTCAGTCGGCCTACCTTTCAGCATATGTCACATATTTGCCCTTCCCAGCATACTGAGCACAACTATCGTAAATGACGACCTATTGGCTCTTTGTCCCTGAATACAATGTACAACAAAGTCATTTCTACTTTTCTTTCTTGCTGTATAGATGATTCTACCCGTTGAAGGAAGTAATCGTGCTTTTGTTTACCTCTGTAACATACGCTTTATTGGTTTCCACCGCTTAGAGAATTCTACACGGGAGATCACTCTCAATCACTATGTTATAAGTGAAAAAACCCATGTATTAAACCTTCTTTCTCCGGAAAACCTTGACTTGCCAATGTCCTTAAGGAGTTCAATAATTAACACAAAAGCATCCAGCTTAGTTTCTTCTTTGTAAGCTACATGTATAGGTAAAAATTCATATATAAGACTTTTCCTAAAACCGGTCGGCAACATACATACCACATCTGTCTGTTCATTAATTTTATTTACATTTATCTTGTGTGTGCTAATCTAATGAACATTAAAAGCTATTATACCGAAATATTCTTAAACAGTGCAAGATTACTACCAGTTCTTTCAAAGGAAAGCCAACAACAGGAATTGAACCTGTTCCTCTATCGTAAAGATACGAAAGCATGCACCAGTACACCATGTTGGCATTTAAAACAAGCATTCTGAGAGTATTGCATTAGCAATACTAGTCCCCTACCGGCAAGTGTAATCTGGTTCCCGTTAAGAATTGAAAATGCCATATTTCCGTCAAAAATTAATGAAGCGGGACGAAATGCAAACTTGATCTATAACTAATCAAGGTAAAGCCACATACCAAAAATCAGCTCAATATCTACAAGCGTTTAGAAGAAAATTGTGGAAAACCCGTAAAAATTGAAAAGGCCGTAATTCCGTCAAAAATCAATGAAGCAGAACGAAATGCAAACTTGATCTGTAACTCATCAAGATACACTCACATACCAAAAATCAGCTCAATATCTGCAAGCGTTTAGGAAAAAAGTGCGGAAAACCAAGTGGGACAGACTGACAGACAGACAGAGGGACAGACAGACAGACAGACAGACGGACAGACAGACAGACAGACGGATGGACAGACGGACGGACAGACTCAGAGGAAACCTATAGTCCCCTCCGGTTTCACCGGTAGGGGACTAATTAAAGATCTGGTAGCCTTGGAGAGTAAATATTGCATTATTCACTAGTTTAGGGAAGTGCACTGCACAAGTCAAGAAAATAACCTTTTTTTCTATTTTTGTATATATATGTTTTTTTCATCAGAGGATTTAACTCATTAATAACTCAACAGTAAACTCAATATAGCACTTGGACACAAGTAGTCCATCCCAGTCAGTTACTAGAGGTACTGTAAACAAGCTCATGAAATTACCACCCCTACCTCCTTCCCGCTGCATTAAGTTTTAAAGTGCCAATTTACATATTTCTAAGAAACTGCTTTAAGAACCCTCTCTACACTGCACACTAAAGAGTTCTGATTCTATGGTATTTTTCTGCAGTTAGAGTGATCTGCCCTTAGATCTCAATTCCAATAAATTGAAATTTACAGTATATTATACTCAATTTGTAATCAATTTAGTATTCTTAACATTTTAAAAAGGCCCAGATAAATGAATTGAACACTTTATTTGCTGTGTGTATTTTCTCCACGGAAGTAAAGTACTAAACAAAAGTGATTTCTGTTCATTGATACTTTGTCGTCTCTGAACATTTTTCCTGGGGAGCAAATATTGCCACGTACCGTACATTGAAAATTAGATAGATAAGCTCAATATTTACACCTTGATTCAATTTTCTCAATGTCCAAATAAAACCTATTTTGCACTGGTGTATAGAGAGTCCTTAAGTAAAGTTTGTGTATTTAAAGTATGAAATTAAAATATTTCTATATAACCTGATATGAATTTTCAATTTTCTGTTGTCACTGATCTTGAATTTGCATGAATGACCTTAGGTCAAGGTCAATTATAAAATTTTAGTGTTTCTCCATTACAGAATCCTACTAATGTTATTATCCCCTCGCAATGAGTTGGAGGGAATATAGTAAAGCATTTGTGTGTTTGTTAGTAATACCCTTTCTGTTGTCATTCACACCATGCAGATTAACATAGCCCTCAATAAGCACCTATAATAACCATCACATTCTCTTACAATGGCCTCTCTTAGTCTTTGAAGAATATTTAAGGAATATCTATATATTTTTTTTTGTACTATGATGTAGTCAAGCAATTAGTTTGCATAATATTGTCAAATTACCACACAAGATAGGTGCTTGAACATAATTAATGATTATAAAACCCCAAAATCTGATGGATTTACCACATACTATATTTAAATTTACCAGCTTGATCTAAGCCTTGCCCACTTTTCCTTCTCTCTCCCACCCTGCACATGTATGTTTTATTACAATTGTAACCATGCATATTGATAAACCAGTAGCTTTATGAAGAATACATTTTTTGTTATTTGTAATTTTATTTTGAAGAAAGAAATTTGAAAATATAACTATTAATGTATAAACTTTAGGTATTCTTGTACAGTGGATCTTCAGATATTGGACGCCAGATATGTGGACTTCTGGATGCTTTTTCATGGAAATGGCATTTCATAATGGTCTGTCAATTCTGCTCAAAGGAGTATTCTTCTTAAGTATAGTAGTGTGGTCCCTTTTTACACCCTTGGTTTACCGGTTAAATATTAGCATATGGTATTTTGTTTGTTTTCACTGTGTATAACAATGTATTTTTAATTAAAACATAATTAAACATATCAAAAAATACAAGCCAATTTTTAACATCTATCGCACTAAAAAATGCTGGAACATTTTCCCCCGGTCAGACTACGGTTTCTCTATTACATGGAAATGGGCGGAGAAATTTAGATTAGAAACTATAATCGAAGTACTGTAAGTACTGATAGAAAGTGGCATAAATGATTTTGTGTTTAACGTCCCTCTCGAGAATTTTTCACTCATATTGAGACATCACTATTGCCGCTGGTGGGCTGCAAATTTAGATCTATATTCAGCACTCCAGGTCATTGAGTGGTGAGGGATCTTTTTCTGACCAGCACTTACTGCGACACGGGACCTCGGTTTCACTGTCTCCATGTCCCGCAGTGGGATTCGAACCCGCTACATAAGGATCGACTCCTTCATGTTCGTGACTCTAGAGCAAACGCTAACCACTGCGCTACACGGCGACTGGCATTGAATGAGATAAAATATTATAAGAATCTGTAAAATGATATGATGGAAATTATGAAAGTTTATTGCAATTTTTCATGATACATGTTTTTTAGTCAGTAAATTTGTATTTCCGAAGTATAATGAGGACATGTTTTAATTGGAGTTGTTAATTTATTGCATGAAATTTTCTGCATTAGGTTTATTATAAAATAAGGATTAAATAAAAAAAAAAAACTATCCCGAAATGCCAAAACGAAACTTCGATCATTTCAGTTTTTTTCTATATGAACTATTGTGGTTTACAGTCATAATTGCAAATTTAAAAATGAAAATATATTTAAAAAGGATGATGAACAGATTGAAATTATATATTCAAATAATGGATTTTGGGATGTTTTAGTATTTTCCCTCATAAATTAATGCTTAAAATGTGTCAAAACCAGTTTATCCTAAATGTTAAATCATAAGGGAATCAAGGTTCCTAATATACTCATGTAGTGACCGAAAATTTTTATTCCAAGATGCATGTTTTACAAAAATGTGTAATGAAATCGTGGTGTTTTGAAGTTAGAAATTTTGACTTTATAATTTCAAATCTTTACTCAGTGATCAATAATCAGATTTTGAACACCCCCCCCCCCCCCCAAAAAGAAAATTTGAACAATTTTTCTTAACTCATTGGAAAAGTTTTAAAAATTTTGAGTAGAATTGAACCCACAAGATTTTTTAACAAAAACTTACTTTTCATAAATTATGGTAAAAAGGGAAATGATGAATCACCTTTGGACATGTACTGTAGATTGTGCGACATAAATCATATGCTGAAAGATAATGCAATAGACTTTATCCTTGGATTCCCATCTTTCCCAAATTCCCTGGCTATAATTAACTTATTTCTAAAAGCTTGAAAGACTCCAGAAATTTTACAAAAATCTTACTTCTTTGTTTGATATATACTGTTCGAAAAGAAGAACAGAAAAAACAAATTATTTGTCTGCCTCTATTTCTCCATCGTCTCAAGCCTCGGTTAGCTCTCTTCAGAATGGGAGAAGATCGTATATTTTGGCCGTGGTTTGTGACGATGCTATTTCTCATACATAATCTTAATATGCACTGACCCTGCTTATTGCTGCTAGTCATTGCGAAATAAGATATTTAATTTGTGAACACATGCAGGAGAAGACTGACCTAAATTAAGACCACTGAATTCGCAAGAAAATCCTAATATTTCATGCATGTGTATTTTAGTACCTTTTTTCTTACACTTTTTAAAGGGTAAATTTTATTCGAGGCACGATAGAATTTTCAAATACAAATGAAGTATATTGTTAACTTTTCTCCGTCACAGTCTTTATAATTATAACTTTGATAAATTAGCATTCATTCAGTAGTTTTTCTGTCAGAGATAATAAGGCAAGGATTAATTATCATTTTTTTTAAGACAGAATCGTAATAAACTTTGCAAATTTTATGGCATCGTATCTGCCTCCAATAACTCTTTTATTAACTGATTATCGATAAGATGTCGTGATCTTTTTTTACCCGAATATATATATATATATTTCTAATATATTATCGTCAACAGATATTAGAAATTCAAACAATCAAAAGACATCGTAAAATTACAGTTAACTTTAAAAGTTTTATAATTGTATAAAAATTCTACGAAACTTTCAAATAAAACATTTATAAAACATGCAATACCGGAACAAGGAATGTGCAGTCCTCGAATTATACTGTACTTATGAATTGGAGAAATTTGGAGATCAATGCTTTCCTAGCAGGGAGTATCTCATAATTAGGGAGTATCAAATTGTGAATGTCTCGTAATTACCGTTTGTCGCATACATGTAACTAAGAAACCACCGTGCATGTATTTAGCAATTATAATTATTTGATTTCAAAGTTAAAATGTGAAACCATTATTCTCAAATATTTTTCCCTTAAATATTCTGACTATTAATAAATATTATTTAAATTTTACATTAACACAACCTTAAAAAAAGCTGTGTGATTTCTGTAGTTTGCATACGAATATACGAGACAGTCTGTGTACGAGTTAGTTATAGATCGATGTCATTTAATGAATATTCATGAAGGGAGAAATATCGATAGCGGCAAATATCAGGAATTAAGCTTTGTGCCCATCAACAAAATGTCTGTGAAATAACTTGAGAGTATTTGTTAACTATGTGCATTTTATTTTCAAACATCAAATCAATCTTATTTTCATTATTTTGACTCTGCAAAAATCGCCGCTAGGGTCCCCATGATTTTACACTGTTGTTATTTATAGCCCAAAAGTAGCAGCAATAGCCTGTGGCTAT